GTTTTTTTGGGATTGACTTACTTTGTTTAGCATGATATTCTCCAACTCCATTCATTTACCTGCAAATGCCATAATTTATTATTTTTAATGCTGAGTAATATTCCATTGTGTATACACACCACAGTTTCTTTATCCATTCATCTACTGAAGGGCATCTAGGTTGCTTCCATAGTTCAGCTATTGTGAACATTAATGTGGCTGCATTACTATAGTATGCTGTTTGTAAGCCCTTTGGATATAAACCAAGGAGTGGGATACCTGAGAGAAATGATGGTTCCATTCCAAGTTTTCTAATGAATCTCTATACTGCTTTCCAGACTGGTTGCACCAATTTGCAGTCTCACCAGCAATGTATGAGTGTTCCTTTTCCCCCACATCCTCTTCAACACTTATTGTTGTTTGTATTCTTGATAACTGCCATTCTGACTGGTGTGAGATGAAATCTTAGAGTAGTTTTGATTTTCATTCCTCTAATTACTAGATATGTTGAACATTTTTTCATATATTTGTTGATTGATTGTGTATCATCTTCCGAAAAGTGTCTGTTCAGTTCTTAAGCCCATTTATTGATGGGGTAGTTTGTTTATTTGGTGTTACATTTTTTGAGTTCTTTATATATCCTGGAGATTAGTGCTCTATCTGACATGCATGTGGCAAAAATTTGCTCCCAACATGTAGGCTCTCTCTGTACCTCATTGATTGTTTCTTTTGCTGAGAAGAAGCTTTTTATTTTGAGGCTATTTTCTCGTAATGGTGCTATTTTTGCTTCTTTGATCCTCAGCCTGTGGGGCCAGGAGAAGAGGCAGGACGGGTCTTTGCTTCTTTGCTGCTTACAGATTTTGCTCTATCACTTTACCTGCCGCAACCCCCCCCCCAAAAAAAAATTCCTCCCTAGAATCCTGACTTGCAGAATCCCATGTTTTCAGCCTGACCATCATCCACATGTTCTTGAAGCCATGCTTGACCAACCCCTGGTCATTCCCCTTTCCCACATAGGCACTTTCCCTGAATCGTTATCTTCCTGGTGAAATCAATATAAACACCAGTGATTCTTCCCCAAATCTGGCCCCTCCTTTCCTTCACCTGCTCTTCATTATTGGTCTTGAACTCCACCTTGCCTGATCCACTCATTCCCTCTGTCATATCCTGGACCCTCTCATTATCATTATCTGCCATTGCTAATGTCAATTTTAGGTATCTCACCCTCTGTCGGCCTTTTTCCTTGTTCATTCCTTCTGGCACCCAACTTTGGGGTGTGCCAAGTTTCCATCCTGATAACTTTCGATTGTGTTAAATTTCCATTGCTCCTGACCCACCACCTTGGTCCTTGTTTTTCTCCTTATTCAGCTTTTGTCCATGGCCCACTGTTGTAGTCATTCTCTTGAAGATACTGCCTCGTCCCTCTTTTTCTTTGTCTTAGTTTCCTTTTAACAATCCAATTCTTCATTCTGTGGTGAAACCAGCAAAGGCTGCAGAGCCTGTGGCTTCACTCGCTAGCATCACTGAACTCATGACCTCCCAACAGCAGGTGCCCGGTGAAGTTGCTGCTGGTGGCTGAACAATCCACATATCCACTTTCCTCAGGAATGATTTCATGTCTTCACTTCTCTCGTTAAATCCCCAACTCTTCTCCTCATCTTCTTCTCTATTGATGACCCTGCTTCCTGTTTCATGGAGGAAATAGGTTCAGAGACTCTTCCTTCTCAAACACCCTCCCAGCACCACGGGTGGGCTTGGCTCACCTGAGCCCAAGTGGGTGCAGCCCACACTCCCACCCAAAGCAAGCCCCTCACTTGGTTCTAGATGCTCAGTCTCAGCCACTGTGCAAGCTGCTTATTCCCTGTGTCCCCCCTCTATTCCTTCTACTAGGTCATTCCCATCAGCATAAGAGTCTGATGGGATGCCTCTCTACAAAAGGAAGCCTCCTCCCTGGCCCCAGCTGTCAATTCTCTCTGCTTTTCATTGTTCTTACCGCCAGGCTCCTCACTGTGTTCACTGCCCCCTCCACTTGTAATCTTTTCCCAATAGAATTTTATTTCCACCACCTGTTGGAACCACCTTTATCAATGTCAACCAGACAGCCTTTAGTGTCTCCCACTGCCATTCCAATGACATGACTTCTGCCTTCTGAAATTCCAGCATCAAGTCTCAGCCCCCATCTTCCTCCCCTAAGAGCAGCATCTGGGAACCTATCAATGGTGTGTTTGGATGTGTTCCTCACAGTCCTTATCTGTAATTATGAAATTCAAGCTGCTCAGAAAACTGAAATGGTTTTCGTAACTCATGACAGCAAAACCCGATCTGAACACTGTAGATTCTTTATTTATCCTACTCAGTGGCGATGCTGATCCATAACGACATAGAAAACTGCTGTAATTGATAGCAAAGTCAAGCCTCAGACCCTCCTTGGAGGTGTTACATAATATACAGTTTATACAGCAGAGCACATCCAGCCCCAAGGAATCTAGAAAAACAGTTATGGACCTGGAGTAGAAATCTAAGATCACATTCAGGAAGATAAATTTATTTGTAACTAGCCATATTTTGATCATATATTAGCTTTAGAAAACAATGTTATTTTATGGGAATGAAAATAAACATTGGTGTTATATTTATTTATATCAAATAACATATTTAAGATAGTATATATCTTAATTTTGCATGAAACATATGTATATGTATATCCATTATCCTAATCCAAAGCTAATGGGGTCACAGTGACCCACGAATACTGTTATTTTAAAATAATTTGTCTTAAAATAATTTCAGATGTAAATTACAATTTGCATGTTAGATCTATCAACTGTGAAATCAAAACTAAAATTGTGTGACTTTTTGGATTACTTCTCAGTGAATAAAACTGGTCACAGTAGACTTTCAAATCATTACATTATTTCTCAGTTAAAAGACATATAGAAATGATGCAGATACAAATACCATGACAATAAAATGGGACTAAAGAAACTTCTTCCATCAATTGGCAAATATACAGTTATGTTTTAACCATACTACTATTGAGTAAAACTAATTTTCTTTAATTATTTAAAGTTACATGGGTAGTAATTAAGATATTTTAAAAATTATTTTAAAAGGGGTACATTTTTATATCTCAGCAATAATCCTTTATATGTTGGGGGAACCTAATTGGAATAGAAGACAGATATGAAATAAATATTCATGTGTGTGCTTTCATATATTTTTCTCCTCAGTTTTTTACATTGAAAAATTTCTAACCATAGAAAATTTAAGAGTAGTGATTATTAATATTCACACACAATCCACTCATACTCATTAGCATTTTGCAATCTTTGTTTGCTGAGCCATTTAAAAATAAGTTGTAGATATTATCACTTGTCAATTCCCTAAGTCTTTGGAATGCATTTCCTAAGAATGAGGATATATTCTTGTATAGCTATAATGATTATATCAAAACATTTAACAATGATGCCATAAAGTTTTTTATATTAATAATAATTTTATATCATATTCAAATTGTCTCAGTAAGATATTTTATGGGCTTTTGTATGTATATTTATTTATTACTTTTTTAGCTAGTGTTCAATAAAGATTGTGTGTAGAATTTAATTGTCAGGTCTCTTTAGTCTTCTGAAATCTAGAACAGTCCTCTGGCTTTGTTTTCCTTCGTGACATTGGGATTTTGAAGACTACCTACATGTTAATTATTTTGAAAAATGTTCCCATATCTGTATTTCTCGAATTATTTCTTGATTAAACATTTTTGGAAACAATTCTTTATAGGTCTCATTATGTATTTCCTCATGGTATCATATTAGGAGGTATATAATGTCACCTTGCTCCATAATTGGTGCCACTCAGTTTGATTGATTGGTTAAAGTGTTAAGGTATCATTTTCCCTTTTTGGTTAAGAAATCAGAGTTAGAGCTCATTGGTAGGGTACTTTCCTAGCATTCATGAGGCCCTGAGATCAATCCCAAGTACAATAAATGTTAAAGAGTTTTTGCATCACTATGACCAAAAGACCTGACAAGAACAACTTAGAGGAAGAAAAACCTATTGTGTCTCATGGTTTCAGAAGTTCAGTCCATGGTCAGCTGACTCCATAGTTCTTGGCCCTAGGTGAAGCAGAATATCATGGTGGAAGTGGATGGTGGAGAAAGGAAACTCAGGACATGAAAGAAGGAAGGAAGTTTTTCAAACAGGAAATGATGAACAAGAGAATCTTGGCACATCGGGAAGGAAGAATAAATAGGAGAAATATGAGTATATACAAGGGATTATATATAGTGGTTTTTGAAACAAAAATTATAATGCTCCTGGACACTCAAAACAATAATATTTAAAAGTAAGGAAGGTAAAGGAATTGAAGCAGAAATAAGGTGTCCACACTTCACTCAAAGTGGTAAATGTTGATACTTGTTCAACAGTCTCCTGACTTTGAGGACACACATGTATATATGAATAGAAAGAACAGTCAACTAGGAAATTATGCAAAGAGGTGGACTTGAAAGCACTATAATTATTGCAAGATGATTGGAGGAGAGGGTAGTGTTTTCAAATAAATGGTGCTGGGACAACGGTATACACACACTCAAAAGAAATTAAAGCTGTTTATTTTTTATTTTTGAATCTTAGTGTAGTAGGTTAAAATACTTATCCCATGGCTTGTATTTTGCTTGACAATCATGTGTTTTATAAATCAGCAAATAATTACCTGGACTTTCTATTTCTTTTAAAATAACAGAAAATCTATTAATTCTCACATGGCAACAGTTGGTAGGTGCAGAACATAGTGTCTCCTCTTTTAAGTGAGAGTTGGAATTTTCAGGTTTCCCACACTCACTTGGGAATTTGTTAGTGAATTACCACAGGTTGTGTCAGAGAGATTCTATGTCTCTGTTATCCTTGGGGAAAATATTAGTTTGATCTGTCCATCAATTTGCATAACAGAATACGTGAATGAAAAAATTTGTAAATTCTCTTTACTCACCACAACTAATTAATGGTAAATATTTCTTCAGCTTGAAGATGGAGCCCAAGACTAAAGGATTAAAACAGCAGCAGCAGCAGCATAAGAAACTTCTGGCAGCCATGCTTTCTCAGGATTCCTTTGAGTCCATCCACAGCCCTACCCCATCTGTAACAGAAGAAGACATTGACAACGAAGATGATGCAATGGAGTTGCTGGGTAACTTTAAAAATTAATAATTTATCTCTTTCTTTTTTCCTCTTGTATTGTAAAGTATGCAGTGGTTAAGAGGTTTTTTAAAAGTTTTGAATCATTTTGTCTTAGGCAAAAGAGAACATTTAAACATATTCTTTAGATTAGACTTTCATGAAGTTAAATGTAAGAACCAAATTGAAATCAGCTAAGCATGTGAAATATTTATTAGACTGTATTTTGTGCTTTGTGTATGCAGCACTTTGCCTTCCGATACTTAATCAAGCTTTATTGTGTGTGCAACTGTGATAAAAATTCAAGTCTGTCTGCTTTATTCTCTGATTATAATTCCCTTGATCACACCTATTATCTTTAATATATATCCAAAGTTCACATTTCAGCCCTCATCTCAAGATGTCCCTCTGTTACTATAAGGATGCTTTAGAAAAAAATAGAATAAAGTTGAAAGAGGCAGTTAGTAAATTAGTGTTTTATGTGTTCCATAAATGACAGGAACATTTGCAAAGATTTTTAAGTCTCTTCAGGGTCATTACTTTCATGAAAACTATTAATCTTGTATATATAGAATATCTTTTTATATGTCTTAGTGAAGCATATGTATGTTTTGCTCCAGTATAAATTTCTCTTATTTATTCATTTATTGTGGCACAAGGGATTGAATCCAGGGCCTTTTGCATGCTAGGCAAATGCTGTACCACTGAAATATACCCCTAACTCCCCCACACATAGGTATTTTTTAAATTGAGCCTCACTTTGGAAAATCATTTTTTCAAAAGAAGAAAATGAAATTTTATTTTAGAGAGTTAGCCATCTGTAACACAATGTGTTTTTAATCCAGTGATATCAGTTTGTCCATATAAATATTTAAAACAATTTCTGAATATTTTTGTGACAAGATACTACTATATTTAACTGGAAGGAGAAAAAAATAAGGTAAAACTTTAAAAGCTTCACATAAGTTTTACATATAAAATATGGAATGGAGTCCCAGGGGGAAAAAGAAATTTTCTAAAAATATTTTTTTTCTAAATCACATTTCTTGATTTAAAGTGTCAATAGTAGTAAAGTACTTTCATTATAATAAATGATGCATGTCTCCATATTTAGACTTCAGAGGTGTTACATAGTCAATAATGGCAGGTTCAAAATGGTTCCTGGTATAATAACTGCATTTGTTCCACCATTAGGGAGACTGTATAGTAGCATTTTTACTACATGCAATTAATAATTTTTCTTTTTCTCTTTTTGCATTTTTTTAAAAGCAATTAAGTCTTTTTCCTCACCTCTAAATCATTAGTGTGGTAGATGTGCCAGATGTAGTCACAGTATCTGCATTCAACTTCCATTCAACATTCAATAAACATTTACTGAGCACTTATATGCTAGGCTGAGCTTGGTCCAGGGGATATAAAAATAAAATAATAATTGTCTGTTTGCAGGAACTTTGCACTGAACAAAGCACTCAAAATAAAAATGTAAATACACTCTGGTGGTGTTGTCTACCTGCAATAATTGGGCTAAGCACCCACTTGCATATAAAGGCAACATTTACTGCAGAAGTGAGGGACGGTGATCAGAGAATGTGTCTTAGACATGCTGATGCCCCTGGTTAGTCCTGAAGGACAAGTAGGAATAAGATTAGTGGGTGTAGTGTGGTCATTACTCCTATAGGTTTGTTCACAGAGATATGGGCCCCTCTGTGACTGGTCTTCTGTCTTGGTCAGTGACAGTGAAGGGGATGAGACTAAGGGATACTTGAAGGAGACATAGGTTTCTTCTCAGTGCTGGTATCCCCTACATCTCAGCTGCTCTTTTATGAAGTTTCTAGTTTCCCAACTAAAGGATTGGGTTTTGGAGAATACCTAATGATAAGCAATTCATAATTTTCCTTTGTTAATTCTTTTTTTTTCATTTAGACATTTTAGTTTGTGTACTGAGCAAGTTTAATATTTAAGTTTTGACTTTCTCTTTGTAATCCCACACATCTCAGCACAGGTTACTGGTGGAAGAATAATGTTGGTTTCTAAGTTATAAAGATTCCCTGTTTTAACATGGAGTGTTCTAAGTCCACTGTACTATTCTCCAAATAGTACCATGTACATTTTCTTAGTTTTGAAACTGACTGTAGAGTAACATGAAAAATACAAATGTTAAGTTCTTGAAAATTTATGTGATATCAAATTTTAGGACATAGGACTATTGTAAGATGCAATAGAGATATTTGGTATTTCAAATATCTTTTTGAATCTATGGTATGTTGTAGAATGAATATGCTAAAACTTATGTGTTTTTAAGGGTTTAACTTGTTATGTACACCAAGATATAACTGGCTGAAAATTTTATTTATCATGCATGGGAAGCACTCTGTAAACCTTATGAGGTAATGCATAAGTCAAAGATATAATTATTACCTAATATTAATATAAACAGTAATTATTCCTCAATAAAATTGGTTGATATAAAGGGAAACATTTTTTAGTTGAACTAGTAGATATTAGTAAAACTGGTGATTCTTGTTTCAGCCATGAAAATATCTAGCATTGTTAATATATTATTGATTAATAGTTAATTACTCAGTTATTTAAGTGTATATATGTGGATATCTTTTTAACTGTTTTAGGCATATGAAAATATTATATATGGCATCTATAATTTTTAAAATATAATAAGTGTTTTCTGTAAGATTGTTTTAAATACTGTCTTAGAGTCATAGTACAAAAATACATTAATATAATATTAATGTACCTATCAGGTAATAAAATAGCCAAACTTGTAGAATTTTAATACACAACAGTTTTAAGCACCTTGGAAATTGATTCTGTAATTATGAGACATTAAATAATATATCTGCTATGTAACCTCAAACCATGAATTCTCAACCACAAATGCAAAACATTCTTAAATATTTCAGTAGTTATTTTGGCATATAATGGCCACAATGAGTAAAATATTTTACTAAGAATTTTTCTTAAAAATTATTAAAATCTAGCCAGGCATGGTGGTGCATGCCCATAATCCCAGTGATTCAGGAGGCTGAGGCAGGGCAATCATAAGTTCAAAGACATCCTCAGCAACTTAGAAAGACCCTAAGCAACTTAGTGAGACCTTATCTCAAAATATAGAAAAATAGAAAGGGATGGAGATGTGGCTCAGTAGTTAAGTACCTCTGGGTTCAATGCCTGGTACCAAATTTTAAAAAAAGATGTATTGAATTCAGTTTTTTGAAAATATGGTGACAAGGTGTCATGATAGAAAAAAAAGTAATTTATAAAAACTGTAGTTTATTCCATTCTTCTCAAGAAAATTTTGAAGGGCTTCATTAGTTTAAAAGATTTTTCAGTTTGTAAATATGAGCCCATTTTTAAAATATTGCATGCATTTATCATCTTTTACTAGTTGAAACTCAAATAGCTATTATGTGTTTGATTTTTCTCCATGTGATTTATACTGATTTGTATTCATTTTTAAAATCCTCAGAATTATATTTGACAGACATAACTGGCTTTCTTACAAATTTTAGTATGAAATACTACTTGTAAAAAAATTTTTGGGCTGTCTTAGAATTGATGCTGAGGCATATATCTAAAAGTCACAATTCCAGAGATGCTTAAAAATAAAAACATTAGTCATGCTTTATGCTTTCCATCCTTAGCTCATAATTATATAAAATTAAAAATTAAAATTATATTGCCAACCCAAATAAAATTATTACAAACAGATATCACTTGTTTTAAATTGAGTAATCATGAACAGTTTATAATTTTACTGATTATTTTATTGAATGTAATCACTGAATTTCTGTAACCTCAATATCATGCCAAATTTTGTAAAATAAAAACTTAATTTGTTAGAGGGACTCATTACCTTAAGGCATTCTTCTGGCAAATTGTTTTACATCCTGATCAACCTTTTAGAAAAAGAATATTTACTGTTGTTTTTTAAACCGAAGACCCCTTAAAACAAAAACTCCCCATCTTTGCAAAATAAGAACACACATTTCACCTAGTGAAAAATGAATACTTTTTCTCAATGATGTCAAAATTAAAAAAAGGGACAGGACCCTAAATGTTTTCTTAAAAATTACCTTCTCTCTCTCTCTCTCATCTATCTATAATTTAAGGTATATAGAACACTGTAAAACACAAAGTACCATACATATGCACTTTTGTCAATGTTTTTTGTATTTTTTGAGTATTGATGAATGGAACTAACTGGATGACAGAAAAATTGTCCCTTAAAATGAGGATTAAAAGATTCTTGACAAATGTCTGAAGATTTTGAAAAATTAAATCTGTGTATCCTCCAATATTGCTTAAAATACTATATGTAAGGTTATTCAATACAATACAAAAATGATTTAATATAGAATTAGTACGTATTGGAGAATAACATACCCCAACATGTGTTGTTTTAAGATATAACAAATTTTTAAGAACCACTGAAGTTAGTGCTCTAAATCTCAGATACTGATAAAATAACTTCCCAATCACCTCAATCTGAGTAGGTCTCATCTTGAAATATATGATATTCTAAAAATTTCCAGTAATTATTGTGACTGTTAATGACCACAGTTAACCAGATTATTGAAAATCTGCACATGTATTTTTTTTACTTTTCACTAAATCAATTTGCATAGTTGAAAAAAATAGGACTTTATGAAGATGTCTGAAAATATCTTTCACATGCTAAATAGTGTTTTCTCCTGGTAAGCCTGTGTTTTACAATAACAGTCCTTTGAAATGTTCCTCACTACAGAGTTTTCACTTATGTTTCTGAATCCTAACTTCGGCTGTTTTTGGTGCCATCTCTGCCTGCACAAATGCCAAGTGAGTGCAGGTTGAAGTGTGGCCTTTGAGGAGCTAAGCAAGGCCCTGTGCTTGCCTTGCCATAATCCAATGACGACATTTGAGAAAATCCATTCAAACACTTTGAATTCATTCAGCAAGTATCATGCACCTGCTCGGTAAATTGCACTAGTTCATACTAACATATAATACTAGTAATAC